ATAAGAAATTCCAGAGAGGATGGGATGGGATAAGAAATTCCAGAGAGGAGGGGATGGGATAAGAAATTCCAGAGGCTGGTGGGTGATGGAGGGCAGGAGGGCGGGGAGCTCTGCCTGGGATTCTCGGTTTCCTTGGAAGCTCTGGAGCCCCTGGAGATGCCAGGATGATCCCTAAGGCACTGCCCAGGCAGGGATGTCACCCCCAAAATCCCGACAAACCCCGGTGCCAATCGCAGCTCTTGGGGGACGTTGGGAAGAGGCTCCAACCTCCAGCCAGGATTCCAGAGGAGCCTCCCAGTTTGGGATGAGGCAGCTCCAGGGATGTGGGACAGCACCCAAGGGCTCCAAGGAGAACCACGGCCCCTCACTGCAGCCAGGAAATCGGGAGGGGAAAAAAAAAAAAAAAAAAGGAGAGGACACAAAAATTCCGCTGCTCCTTGGAGCTGGGGAGCTCCAGAGCTGCTCCAGGACAGGGGGGACAGCAGGGAGGGGACACGTGCACGTGGAATTCTCTTCCATGGAAACCTGAGGGGAGCAGGGAACCCAGAGGAGTCAAAGTCACCATCCCTGGATGTGTTTTTTTTACAAGAGATTGGATGTGGCACTCAGCGCTGGGGTTGGGTCGAGGTGTTCAGGTCGGACTCGGTGATCTTGGAGGTCTCTTCCAACCTGGGGATTCCGGGATTCTGGGATTCCAGGATTCTGGGATTTCATGATTCTGGGATTCTGAAATTCCATGATTCTGGGTTTTCATGATTCTGAGATTCTGGGATTCCATGATTCTGGGATTCTGGGATTTCATGATTCTGGGATTTCATGATTCTGAGATTCTGGGATTCCATGATTCTGGGATTCCATGATTCTGAGATTCTGGGATTCCATGATTCTGAGATTCTGGGATTTCATGATTCTGGGATTCTGAAATTCCATGATTCTGGGATTCCAGGATTCTGAGATTCTGGGATTTCATGATTCTGGGATTCTGAAATTCCATGATTCTGGGATTCCATGATTCTGAGATTCTGGGATTTCATGATTCTGAGATTCTGAAACTCCATGATTCTGGGATTTCATGATTCTGGGATTCCACAGTTCTGGGATTCTGAGACTCCTTGACTCGGGGATTCTGTGATTCCAGGATTCCGGGATTCTGTGATTCCGGGATTCTATGACTCTGGGATTCTGGAATTCTCAGATTCCTTGACTCTGAGATTCTGTGATTCCAGGATTCTGGGATTCCTGGATTCCAGGATTCTGTGAAATTGCACCGAGCAGCTGGAGCTGGTTCCCCTCCCTGCCCCGAGCCCATCGCCAGCGATGAGCTTCTGCCAGGGATCAGCACTGCTGCTTCCAGGAATCCCCCCGGGAATCCTGTGGGATGGGAATCCCCCCGGGAATCCTGTGGGATGGGAATCCCCCCGGGAATCCTGTGGGATGGGAATCCCCCCGGGAATTCCAGCAGGGCTCTATGGCTTTGGGCACCGGGGGCAGGGAGCGAGGGCAGCGTGGCTGGGTCAGTCCTGAGAGCAGCAAAAGGAGGAGCTGGAGCTCCAAATCCTGATCCCAAATCCCAATCCCGATCCCAATCCCCATCCTGCCGGGCCTCCCGAGCATCCCTGCCCCAAATCCAGCCTGGGAGGGCACCCTGGAGTCCTCCCAGGGGCAGAGCAGGCTCCACCCCACGATCCCTGCCAGAATTCCAAGTTCAGGGCCAGCTTTGTCTTCTGCTCCTGGTGTTGGTGGCTCTCTCCTGGTCACAGAAGGTTTTTCCTTTTCTTCTCTTTTTTTTTTTTTTTTTTTTTTTTTTTTTTTTTTTTTTTTTTTTTTTTTTTTAACCCCTAAGCTCATCTCCCACACTTCCCACACGCCACACCCTGGGGAGGCTCCTATTCAATTAAAAAAAAAAAAAAACAAAAAAACCAAAACACCCTCACCAAAAAAAAAAAAAAAAAAAAAAAACCCAAAAAAAAAAAACCCCCCCCAAAAAAAAAAAAAAAAAAATAATCAACCATCCAGTAGTCAAGCATGAGAACTCAAAACCTCACAGGGGAAAAAAAAAAAAACCCAAACCAAACCAAAAACAACCTTCCTGCGGGCACAGAGCTCAACCCTAGGAGGGGGGTGCAGGCACCAGGAGCACAGCAAACTGCAGGGAAAACACGGAATATCCAGGGATGGCGAGATCCCGGGGCGAGGCTGTGCAGGGAGCCGGGGCTGTCCTTAGCAGTCGTCGATGTTGAGGCTGATGAACTCCTGGATGCATTTCCGGTACTGCAGCTCCGTGGGGCTGTTGCTGGGGTATTGGCCGGGCTGCCCGAAGGGTCCCTCTGCCTCCCGCATCTCCTCGTTCATCCGCGCCAGGCGCAGCCTGGGGGGGGAAAACAGCGGGGCGGGGACGGTGAGCGGGGTTAGGGGTCATTAATGGGTCATTATTGGGTCATTATTGGGTCATTATTGGGTTATTACTCGGGCATTATTCGGTTATTGTTGGGTTATTATTGGGTCATTATTCGGTCATTATTGGATTATTATTGGGTCATTATTCGGTTACTGTTGGGTCATTATTGGGTTATTATTGGGTCATTATTCGGTTATTATTGGGTTATTACTCGGTCATTATTCCGTTATTGTTGGATTATTATTGGGTCATTATTGGGTTATTACTCGGTCATTATTCCGTTATTGTTGGATTATTATTGGGTCATTATTGGGTTATTACTCGGTCATTATTCGGTTATTGTTGGATTATTATTGGGTCATTATTGGGTCATTATTGGGTCATTATTGGGTCATTATTGAATCATTATTCGGTTATTATTGGGTCATTATTGGGTTATTACTCGGTCATTATTCGGTTATTATTGAATCATTATTCGGTTATTATTGGGTCATTGTTGGATTATTATTGGGTCATTATTGGGTTATTACTCGGTCATTATTCGGTTATCCTTGGGTTATTATTGGCTCATTATTCGGTTATTATTGGGTTATTACTCGGTCATTATTCGGTTATTGTTGGATTATTATTGGGTCATTATTCGATTATTACTCGCTCATTATTCGGTTATTATTGGGTCATTATTCGGTTATCCTTGGGTTATTATTGGCTCATTATTCGGTTATTATTGGGTTATCATTCAGTTATCATTGGATTATTATTCGGTCATTATTGGGTGATCATTGGGTTATCATTGGGTCATTATTGGGTCATTATTCGGCTGTTATTCGGTTACTATTGGGTTATCATTGGGTTATTATTCGGTGATGTTGGGTCATTATTCAGTTATTGTTGGGTTATTATTGGGTTATCATTCCCTTATCATTGGGTCATTATTGGGTCATTATTCGGTGATTATTGGGTTATTATTCGGTTATTATTGGGTTATTACTCGGTCATTATTGGGGGTTATCATTCGGTTATTATTTAGTTATTATTTAGTTATTATTGGTTATTATTCGGTTATTATTCTATTATCATTCGGTTAAGATTGGGTTATCATTCGGTTATTATTTGGTTATCATTTGGTTATTATTCGGTTATTATTCAGTTATTATTCGGTTATTATTCAGTTATTATTCGGTTATTATTGTGTTATTATTCGGTTATTATTCGGTTATTATTGTGTTATTATTTGGTTATCACTGACACTGCTGGCAGTGTTTCCAGGTGTTTGCTGCTCCCCAGGCAGAGTTTCCCAGTGTTTCCCAGTTTTCCCCCCAGAGTTTCCCAGTTTTCCCCAGTGTTTCCCAGTTTTCCCCCCAGAGTTTCCCAGTTTTCCCCAGTGTTTCCCAGTTTTCCCCCAGTGTTTTCAGGTCTCCAGGTATTTCCCAAAACTGGAGTTTTTTTCTCCAGTGTTTCCCAGTATTCCCCAGGCAGTGTTTCCTGGCATTTCCCAGTGCTCCCCAGCAATTCCCAGTATCCTCCAGCACTCCCCATCATTCCCCAGTATCCCCATCATTCCCAGTATCCCTGTCATTCCCAGCATTCCCAGCCCTCCCCATCATTCCCATCATTCCCCAGTATCCCCATCATTCCCATCATTCCCAGCCCTCCCCATCATTCCCAGTATCCCCATCATTCCCAGTATCCCCAGTATCCCCATCATTCCCAGTATTCCCAGTATCCCCATCATTCCCAGTATCCCCAGTATCCCCATCATTCCCATCATTCCCAGTATCCCCATCATCCCCATCATTCCCAGTATCCCCATCATTCCCATCATTCCCAG